CTGTCAAGTGGTCGTGTGTCCTTTCTCTAAATTAAGAGTAGTAATGTGTGAACTTCCTTCCATTAGGAGGACACAAAGCACAGCAAGTTCTTTCACAATCCTTCATTACACCACGACCAATACCGTCATGTATCGTGTAGAGCCAACAATCAACAATCGTCACAAAAGCCATATGTGTGTGGACTCTCCTCTTCGTCTCTACAAATGAGAGGGAGTTCGCATTTAAATTGAAATATCGTAATTTACACTGGAGCAAGGTCGTGGCAGAGACGTAGCAGTGGTCACTTTACTTCTTCTTTGAGGCCAATCAACCGGAACACTTTAACACAGGGTGAATGGAACAACACAGAATTGGTGAATAGATCTCGAATTCGAATGCAAATAATCATACTTATTTTGTGGTTATATATGAATCCATCAGAGTTGTTGGTTGGTGTTGCTGCTTTTGCGGCATCATCATTCATAAATGAGCAATGAGGAAATCCTTGCTTTTTGTTGACCATCTCAAGATGTTTGGCACACGCATATGTGACAAAAGTTTACAAGGTCTACTAATAATTGCACCAGCTTGCTTGTGGTCATTTGGTCACTCACCCGCCCAGTTTACTTACTACGGGTGCATTGTTTGTGACATCTTCTGAGGAGTCCGAGTTAGAAGACATTTTCGAGATAAAATTGGACATCTGCTGGACTTGTTATTTGGTAGCGATCCACAAGTTGTAGGACGTACAAATGTACATATGTATGTACGCACATGATTTGCATCTCAGGTACATCTCACGTATGTGGTTTATCCTTGCTGATTGCTATCAAACCACTTTCTCTGGTCGCGTGTTCTTGAAACTACACATGTGCTCCTTATGCGTATGATATAAATGTAAATCCCTTGGAAAAAACGTGGTCGAAAAATCTCAACAAAAAAATTTGTAACAAAGATTCGTAGCAAAGTAAAATCAAGACAAGTTAAGTTTTCCCGTAAAATAGTCATCGCTTGAAAAAGTCTTGTCTCAGGAGAATGACTAGTAACAAAATTGTCTTGTTGACATATGCACATAGACAAACAACACAGTCAACAGTTTCTCCTATGGGTCCGTTAATCTTGTAACCGAACATGCAACACACGCTCCTCAGCAGCAGTGAAATCCATGCTTGTTCATTGTCAATATTTTTACTTTTACTTATGGTTTGCCCCCTCCGTCTCTAATCCTAAAAATGCACTTTTGTCCCAATTGGATCCATGCGTAGCGGACGCAACAACGGAAATCTTATTTAAGCCGAGAAAACTCAGATTTGTTCCAATTTCCAAGTATATAAAATTTGGGTGCCATGTGTTACGCATTTTTCCTCCTCCTCCTCCTCTTTCCGCCGTTTCGAAAACCCGAAGCCCAAGAGGACCCTTAAAGTAGCGTAGTCAAACTGTGCATGCGCATATATTTTTAACTGGCCTGCACAATAATGAAGTTATGCATGTGCACTTGACTAGGGTAACATACATAAATTAGGGACATAAATTCGGATAAATAAACCAAGAAGGAAGAAGTTTTTGAAGAAAAAAGGAGTAAAAATTTCGGGACCAAATTACTAGAAAATGTGATGCGACGTCAAGATCAACTTTTAAATTGCCCAAGAGAATTGGTTTAAACTCACCAAAGCAAAACCAAAGTTAATACAAAGCAGACTCTGAAGAGGCAAGTGATGTGATCTCTGGACTCTGAAATCCCAAAAATCCAATACTCATAATCCTTTCAACCGTGTCCATTTACCATACTTTTTAAGCTGCTACAAGATCAAAATTCTTCGCTTAAGCCAAGCCAGTCATCAACTCATCTATACAACAGTCATGTTTTGAAAGTGAGATTTCAAGAAACTTTGAATCATATTTAAGGGAAAATCTTTGTAATTTAAAGACAAATCTTGCTACTGTGCTGTATATCAGCAAGTGAGGGGAGGGGGTAGTAAATATTGAATTGTAAAAGTGTGTGAACATGAAAAAGTATAATTTGATGCACAGAGAGCAGTTAAACATAATACAAACTACATACTTTTCCATCACAAGACCGACACATTTCCAACTACGTATGCGTAAAGTAGTATTTCTATAAAGGGAAAGTTTCAGTTTCATTTGATGGGATTTTTATGAGCTACGATTCTGTTTTCCAAAATTTGTAATGGATGTGGGATGGTCGGTCGGGAGGAACATAAAATAAAAATAAATTGCTTAATCTTCACCCAATTCTTTCCCGTTTTTCGATGAGTTGCTGCTTCGGTAGTTAGTTGGTTGGAAATAACTAACCAACCAATCATACGTTTATATGCTCTCTTCAGTATGTAAACTTACAATGCATTTGCTCTTTCGGTTTGCATAGTGGAATTTTAGATTTTCAAATTTTTACAAAAAGTGAACAATACTCTTAAATATTTAACTCATCATTTCCTGAATAAATACTCGATTTACGTTGTTATTGATGCGAAGGGGAAGACGCTACAGCAAAGTTAATGGGTTTCTTCCTACCTTCGAATAATACAATTCGGTGCCAAATTATCCGGAAAGAAGAAGAATTTAGTTATTTTCTCCTCGAGCATAATTCAACTCTGGCAGATCATTGCTTTGTGTTTTTGATTCCTCTTTTATTCATTCGCCGTTTTGTGTTGGATGCTGCTTCTGCTCAGTCTCAATCTGGACTTTCCTGCACATTAGCCATTTCCCTGCAGATTGCACAATAGCTCTCCTTCCACCATTAATTCACTTCGCATTCGTCGCATTGTGTTGCCACCAACGAGAAAGGAATAATGGGCATAAACAGTCGAAAACTCAATGTGAGACTTTGAAGCCCACTAAAATAGATTGCAGCCGGGTTAACCCTCACATAAGGGCTATACGATATATGTACAAGAAACTGTCCTGCGGTTGTATACGTACGTATTAACCTGCTACGGAAAAATATAGGTAGGTAGATATGGGTCCCATAATTCTGTTCGGAATACGGGAACACGAGTGATAAATTTCACGTCAGAGCAACAGAGTAATAATGACTTTAAGTTTCAAGTAATTCCACAAAATGGTGTAGTCTGTGGGTACAAAATATGATTTTTGCCGTATGTAGGACAGAGTTGTGTAAGTAGACTCGTAATGTGTACACATATATTTACGTATGGAACGGAGAATTGGACGACGGAGGGAGCAGATAATAAAGAATATCATCTGAAGTGACCATAAAACCCCGGAGGAGACGATAAAGGCATTGAGGGAACGTGACAGAGTGTCATAAAAGCAGCAGGAGGTTTCATGCTCCATACATACGACCCAGGTATCTACGACCACCATTCATCCCAAAGTGTTGATTTATCAGGAAATGAAATAAGCCACGATTTCATTTCATTAAACGACGACGAGATAGTTGTTCTGATGATGACGAATCTCAACCAGGAAAAAAATTAATTGCTGCCTCAGCAGCTTTTCTTTCACATGTCGATTGGAAAATAGTGGTATTTATTTTGTAGTATTTAAATGACGTGCTCCTTAATGCTTCTGTCCAACAATGCTGAAATATTTTTCTAATAAAATCGGGCAAGACGACAAACCAACAATTGGTCTGGAATTTGAGGAAATTAAGTCAGGAAGAAGTTGCGTTATTGTAAGCTTATTTGTAAGAAAGACCTCTCCCTCGGTGTGTATCTTGGTGACAAGGACGTAGGAGAGTTAAGCTGGAGATTTGTATTAGGAAAGGTTAGTTAATAATTGTGAAGCTAGTGACTAAAACTTTGGTCACGGTTAAGCCTACTTTTTCTGTCCCAAGACGATCCAAATGACGGATGGGGATCCAATGAACTGAAGCCTGAAAGGGAAAGGAAGCCCATTAATCTCGATTCTTGAGTAACAAAACATTCCAGAGCTGTACATATATTTCCATTATTTTCATATTAGCTCCCAACTTCACTTGGCTCTTTTTCTCATTCTTCCTTACTTTTTGTTCAACTTCAAAATCAAAATTTCAATTTTCATCGGATCATAATCCAAGGAGAAGAAGTGCTTCGTCATACCTTGATCCGCTCACAATGCTGCAAAGTTTGCAGAAGAGTAATGAGAATACGTGACAACAACGAGTCAGTGAATAGCCAGGCAAAAGATGACTGTCGACCAAGTGACATTTTAAAATTATTACGACAAAAAATAAGCTGGGAAATATGAGTTTTTGCAGATTTTGGTAAAATTATTCATTCCCCATTCTTCCATACTTCATCTCCTTACGCACTATTACGGTAGTGTCCTTCAATGTACCAAATTGCCCACCACCACCCACCAATCCTTCATCATGCTAAGGGTAAAAGTTGGTCTCTACGTCCATTCATCCTGACCTTATCTGAAACCCTCTGTCATCATCATCATCGCATAACTTCTTTCACATTTTATTGGAAGAAACTGTCAACTTTGATCCATTGATGACTTTGGAGAGAGAGACCTGTTGTAACTGCGACTCAAGTGTTGTTTCTCCTTCTTCTTCTTCTTCTTGACTCCCAGTTTTGTAAACCTGTTGATTTCAACCAACAAACCATGAGTCTGCTTTTCGGCTAACTTTATTATATTATTCTTGCATTGTTGATTGTTGAGGGCATTGGATGGAAGCAGGCAATAGTTCCTCGAAGAGAACAGTGGAATTTAATTTTAAATAAACTTGCTCCCTATTCATTGAGAATTGACTTCACTCGAGTTGAAGGAACCTTGACTTGTATTCTTTCCCTTTGTTCAGACGAGGAGGAAGGAATCACATGAATTTATGTAAGAGTGACAATTCTGCAATGCCGTTGTGTTCTATGCTGCTCTTGGAGTTGGTATTGGACCTGCCTTTAAACTTGTTCATGTGCTAGTCGTTGGTTGGGTGGGTAGTTCTTTGAAGAGAGAAAGATTGATTGAGCCAGATTTTAAAATCCTGGGAGGTTATGGTCAAAACGCAATAAGTTTTAGTGTTCCAAAGAAATATCTTTGTTTACTACAAAAAATATAGGCTTTTGAGTTTTATTTTACTTAAGATTGTATATATTTTATGTTGGAGGACGTGTATAAAACTAAATATTGTGTAAAAAAAAGTTGTGAGAATAAATATATAAACTTTGGTGCAGTTTTTAGTTGAGACCGAAAATTTAGCAGTAAGCAGGGCTCAGTTGACGTAGCGTCTTCTTCCGTTCATATCGTGAACTTGTGGGGGCGGTCGGTTCACAGTTCTCCTCGCCCTGGAGGCCTTGATGTCTTTGACCGTTTTCCCATTGTCGGCGCAGATTTCCACTCCGTCCCAAACCAAGCTGATGACCTCGGGCTGGGGTTCGCCCTTAAACCACGAGATGCGGAAACGGAAGGTGACCAAATCCCCCTTTTTGATTTCGACGTCGTCCTTGCGACTGCGGAACAGGGCTTTTCCCTGCGTCGGGTTGTTGCTGATCCAAATGCTCCACCCCTAAAATAACAGGAGAAATTGTCATTTAATATTTATTCAAGTCTATAATTTAGTGGGGAATATAAAGTTGAATGTTGGTTTTAATGCTTACCCCGAGGAAAGTGAACTCGACATCAGTCGCCATGTCCATGACCCACTCGCCAGAGAAATTGTGTGGCGCGATGAAGGAGACATTCGCCAAGTAGTTGAGCAGGCCTTGGGACTCGATTTCGACCACGTTGGAGCAGTTGTGACCCCAGGCATCTCCCACAATCAGCACCAAGATGAGGCTCGACAGACCCGAAAAAGTGTTCATCTTGAGATTTTGTAGTAAATATGTGGTTTTTACAGTAGATATGCTGATAATTCGTTTGGTGTTCTTAAACAAATTTGCTATTACAAATTGTTGTTGCTCTTGATCAGATAGCTCAGAGATTGATGATGAGACTGGTGTTGCTGTGACTTCTTTTTATACGCGGCCTCAGTAGGTACATATTCGGGATTAATTGCCATAAGAAGATCATCTTATTATTTGCCAAGAATTATTTGGAAGCTGTTGTTCCTCGCGTATATTTTTCTCTGCTTATCAACCTGTCAATAACATAATCGCTTCACCTTTAAATGCACGGCGTCTTATTCTTATTGCATCACCAGAACAGCCTGGACAACTAATTCATTCGTTCTCCATGATTTCTTAACCTATTGGTTTTGGCTAAACTTTAGCTGATAATGATATACTACACGATTGCGCAATCAGATTACTCATCTCTGTGATCTCTGTGATCTTCCATGCATAGAACATTTACATTAGTCAGATGATGAAATGAAGTGACACACCTCCGCAGCAGCAAAAGATTAGCAATAAATATGGTATTAAGATTTGTATCTACATATAATCAGAACTAACTTGGGCCATAAAGTCATTCAAATTAGTGTCGACCTGAGGAGTCTCACATTTCCAGATAATTAATTTGTCACGTTCAAGTCACAAAGTGTTTTCCGACTTTTAATAATTTCCTAGCACATGTGAGCTAGAAAATTTGACAAATATTGTCAAGTTTATTTCCTCATCAACAATATTATTCAGATGGATAATGATGACGCGTTACTGATGTTGACGTATTTTCTAGTTCTGATGAGACAAATTATGTTACATAATTTATGTAAATGACGCCTTCACAACATAAATTCTGCATATTTGAGTCACATGCATTATTTTCATATGAACAATAACCTGTCACGCATTCATTACTCGCACGTATGACTTGAATTTTCTGGTCACACGTCATCTACACCGTGGCCGAAGCCGTTTCTTCGTGGCGAGAAGGTGCCGAGAAACGGCTGACTCCCCACCGCGTCTCTGACACTTTGAAGCATTTGCTCCTCGAGAACAGGGGAAGAAAGGTCCAGAGAAAAACAAATATTGAACTGAACCCGTGACCTCATTGACCCTTTTTAGTATTTTAAGCATTCCCTTCTCCGCGTGAGTGCGTTTTACCTTCAGTGTTTTACAAAGTGAAAATTGCTGTCTTAAAATAACCCTGATGATGATCAGTGTAAGTATGATCGGACCGGTTCTCTCTTGCCCCCAGTGCATTAAGGATGCAATAACTAGTACCAAGAACATGCATCTACTCACTTATTACACGGGCTCTGATTTGCCTTTTACCACACCCGACGACCAAGTTTCCTGCGTACAACTTGTTAATATCAATCTGTATTAGAGTTGAAATGTTTTTAGGGAGGAGGCGATTACACACAACGACCACAACCAGCCAGGCATTGAGTAATGGATCTCACAAGAAGTTCTGTCCCGTTAAGTCCTTAAAACCTAAAAGTAGATCTGGTCAAAAACCATGCATGTCGTGTGTAGCGTAATGCAGGGCAGAAATCAGACCTTGATCTTGGCTCCTGAATCCGCTCGTCATCTATCCAGCCATCCATCCATCCATCTCCTTCCCTAATGTGCTAGGCAAAGGGCCGAAGAAAACCACGCGGCTAAAGAGGAGACAAACCGCAGATTTCCTTCACTTAAAATCTATCTGCCGAGATTTTTTACGACGACAAGACAATGATGATGGTCATGTTTCTGTTTGTTTAGACAAAGGAGGAGGAGGAGGAGGAGGATGCTCCTCTCACTTGTTTCATGTGATGCGGTCTGGTGGTATGGACGGAGTGATGGTGTGGTGGTCGTCGTCGTCATCATGTAATCCCTTTCCGATACCGTTTTAAAACAGGGCCGCCCGACAAACACAGACAAATAATACAACAACTTGTACTCCGTCGGCAACTTTCTTCAAGAAGATTGAAAGATGCATCATGCATGCACATTATTACACACTCTGGACATACGTTAAACATTCGCTGGAAAATTAGAGTGTGCCCTTCTGCCTCGGCTCTTCTGGTGCGACTTTTCATCTAATAATAATAACGCTTCTTTGAACAATCCTTCAAGCACTGTAATTTTTAACACTTGCCCACAACAAAGTACCGAGTGAGGGTGTGCCTAAGCGTCGTTTCTGGTAAAAAATATTTATGTTTGTTTGCCCCGTACAAACAAATATTATCATCGTAATCATTGTGGAACAAAATCCGATCCAAAAAAGAACCCATGTCGATCAACGGTCAGTTTTTCATTTGGAAGAGTGTCTAGATTTTTAAAATCGTACAAAACCATCGAAATACAAACTGATTTTTTAAAATAGTAATTAATAGAACTTTACACCAATTAATGCGATGTAGTAGTTTAGGTCTGTAAAATTAGATGAGACACTGACCAAGACGTCATCTAAACCACGGTAATCCAGACAGTACACAAACAAGTAATAAGGAGCCAACAAGAGTCGACTGCCACAACTTGAGGCATCGTTCAACTCACTACTGCCCATTAGGGAGAGAGATTAGTCACAAGATTGAAGTGGCTCATCGGCTCTGTTTGCACTTTCAGCTAATATTTTGTAAACTCAATTATCAACAAATTAGGAAGATGTTGGACAATGGAAGAAAAGAACAAGAGTGCCGGCGGCTCACATCTCGGGTTTGTTTATACGCATTTGCTTTGCTTTCTTTTTTTTAATGGGCCGACACGGCGGCAACGTCCCACAAGCCATAATATTCCCATGATAAGACAATGTTTATGTGTTTCATTTATGAAGAAATAACGCGAGCAAGTTACACCGGACAAAAGCTTTTAGGCAATTTTAAGCCAAATCTCAACTTGTACATGGTTTTTCTAGATTGGCTGATTGATGCTTCTGTAATTTTAAAATATTTCACGTGCCGTGCACATTATTTATAAATTGAACCATCATTATTCATATTTGGAGAAGTTGGGTTTTTGAAGGATAGAAACTTAAAAATCGATGCAGCATGACGTATACAACGCGTGCACACAGGTCCAAAGCGACATAAGCGCGTCCTTTCTTTGGGTCCATGCACACGGAATAAATGTTCAGCTCGTTGTGCATAAGCTGACTTATTATCACGGCACCGAAATAAGGATATGATTGAAATAAATGTTGAATTGAATTGATTTTTGAGACACCGAACTCTATTCCTCTTTGAATTTTTGATTTGATGCTTAAAATTGGACGGCATTATTGCTCTGCTTCAAGGAGTAAGACGCATTTCAAAACGTTAAATGATGTGTAAAATTGGTTCTTGTTGTACTCCATGAAATGGAACCGAACTTTCGATCTCGGCTCGGCCTTTAGAGTTGCCATCCATGCAGCCAAAAGCAAAGGCAAGGCAGGCTCTCTCTCTCTGAATTCTTCTTTTTATGTCGTGTAAGAATCTTTCTTTACTTTGAATATCACATTTCACAACCGTTTTCCAGAAATATGTGCTCACTTTTTGAATGGGGGTATTCACAGAGCGGAGTCTTCTCTTCGACACCAACAGTCACCAAGAAATTTACAAGAGCAAAGTGACGATCATCATGTAATGCCTTATTTTACAGGGAATTATAATGCAATCTGTGACCATTCTTGGGGCTACGGTCTGGTCCATTTTCTAGCCGTAAAATTGAGTGGGATTTTTAAACTGGACAAATGTGGGTGATCATGATGACGACAATGGAGAGATAAATATAAAATGTATACCTCGCCGCACAAAAGACAAAAGTCTTTGATTTCTCAAAAGTGTGCGAGTAGTGACTTGTAATATTTATCACAACTCGTAAAATATAATAAAAAATCCCCGTTGCGCGTGCTGTTTGGTACGTACGTAAACGTAATAAGAGAGAAAACAACTCAAGTACCCCAGCCAAATGCAGACCTCATCATCTTATTTTACACAAATAAAAGGGATTAGAATATAAACTCGGATTCGATGAGAATTATGTATGTGAAGCGCAGTCAGTGAAATTACGATGTGGTCGCCTTTGTTCTTTAAAGTTGTTCTAAAAAGTTGGATAAAACCCACCACCCACGACACTCAAGGACAGAAAGCAATAAATGATGATGATGATTTCTAGTGTAAAAATTGTATTGAAATAGAATTCTAGATTTTTTCAAAATAAGTTCCATTTTTCCTAAGAATTTTCAAACACAACAAATGATAATTGATCCTCGGGAGGTAAGACACGGAGATATTCATCTTTCCAAAATCTGTGGAAAATGTCTGAAAGGCGGATGGACAGGTATCATTTTCATATCGCTCACATTATTATTCTTACTTTGTGTTAAAACCACACAAATTTGAAACCCTTCCTTCACTTTGCTCACATAATCTTAATGGTTCACATTGGAGATCCGTCTATGTAACTGCACAGGCTCACTCAGAGAGTAAAGCACGTTGGGGCCCATTTAACCCATTTAGTCCCAGGGAAGGATAAGTAAGTGATAGTTATTATCACGACATGGATCTTCTTTGTCAGAGCCTCCCGCATTTATCCATTGAATTTGATACTGCTGCTGCTGCTGCTCATCATATCATTCATCTTCTTCCCATAAGACAACGGGCGGGTGGGAGACCTCCAATTTGTTGGTGTGGGGAATAAAATTATGAAAATCCCACATGTCTACGACTTAATGTGTACATTTGTCGCCGTTCCTTCGTAATTGTTCTTATCGTCGTGATATGAATGATGCCCTGGAATAGACGGATGCCTACCAAACACTTATTTTCACTTTACCTCTGTTTATCTACTTTTGGATTAAGTGAAGCCATGTTACACTCCTTCATGACATGACCTCCCGGGTTGGGGAGCCACGCTTTGATGTCACAAAACTCTTGGTGGCTCCATTTACTCATCTTTTAGATGAGGAGGAGGATATCTGGATTGGATTCAAACGTCGCCTTTCCTTAGTTTTTGTTATTGTTAACCATTGTCTTTTCAATGTCCGGAGACCCGTGTCCTTACCTGTTTTAGGTGGAAGAGATGCTTACGTAGTGGCGACCGCAAAATGTCCCTGAGCAAGTACAACTACCTGTCTCTCTGTCTTTCCAGCTTTATGAATATTATGAGGTATTCATCACGTATGTATTCATGAAAATAATTTTTTTGTTCAAAAAAAAAACAACAAATTTTTCATTTATAAATAAACTTTTATTATTTACCAGTTCAAATGCTTGTCTCTTCTAAGAATGCATTTAGTAACAAGCGTATAAAATGTACATTTGATTTTTACAGTGTGATATTTCTCAGTACCGTATTAACTTATTGCTCACAGCAGTACTGCTTACGTAGTTTTCACAGTTTACACACATTAATATTATGAAAAGTATGTGTCATACTTTCGATAAAATACTTTAATATTTAATTACAATAAACATTTTGATTCAAGTTTAAAGGCTTTTGTTTAGTAGATTGTTTTTAGTGAATTGTTTTGCAACAGTGTATTGCTGATAGGTTTATGTACTCTTCGTTTTTACCTCTTCTTAATTAATTCAAATAAACAGTGAGAAATAACAGGTTCGAATTAATACGCAGTTTTTTTTTACCAAAGTTTCTGAAAATCTTGTTACAAATAATTGAAAATGATGGCAGTAGTACATAGATACATAATCGTCATAATAATACTACTTAAATAGGTATGCATGTAAATAGTATAGCTGCAGTAACAAAGTAAACCATAATGACTAGTTGTACTGAAATGAGTACTGTCTTTGTATTGTGTGATTCTACAAAATACACAAATAATAAAACTTGAGACTACAATTAAAAACTGAAAATCTACATGTTTTTATACAAAATGTTCAACTATATTTTTTTGCAATGAACAAAAAACTCTTGAAATGTGTCATGGATCATTTTCAAAATTGTATAATGTGGAAAACGTGAAAAACATGGTATGTATGTATTTATCTGGTCAAAATAAAATTTGAACTTGTCTCTTGTATCACCAACTTTGTAATTGATTTTTCGTTTCACATTTGAGGATTGAATCACAGTAGGTCAAAGTGGAGATTTTTTTAAATTCCTTAAAAAATAGGAAGGCACTTTACATGCGTACATGTAGAAACATGCGTACTCTGTGTACGTATACATTAAAGAGTACAAGTATTTAAATAGAAAAGTCACATCCTGAACGCTGCTCAGTGAAAAACCTCTTTGGACACACATTAAAGTTTTAGGAAATAAGTATGAAATGCAGGTGATGCAAGGAAGAAAAGTTAATAATTCATCTCAATTCTCAAATGTCCTATCCACTTTACCCTCAGATCCAGCAGCACTCACAATCAATGCTGCTATGTAGGTACGACTAATAAATCGGAAATAGAAAAGATTTCCTCGATCCATGAACATTATTAGCGTGGCTGACTGCCGATCCTCACATGTGTGATGGCAATACATACGATACGACGTTCCGTGTGTGAATGGATGAGGTAATCAAGTGTAATGGAGGTGTATTGAGATTTGAAATATTGAAAATTCCTCGGGGATTTTCATTCCGCGTACAAAAGAGCCAGGATTTCGTTTTGGATTTTATTCAGACTCAGGTGTGCATGCACAAACCATTCGTTGTACGAAGTAGTGGGCCCTTCGAGGCTGGCATGGCTTATTTATTTTCCTTATTCCTTCCTTCATCCCTGTCAGCCAAATCAATTCCCGTGTTTGGATTGAGATTTGACATATGAAGGGAGGGTCAGAAGCTGGAGGACCTTTTCCTCCAGGCGACGGTTGTGTGTGACGACGACGACGGAGACGTTGTTTACTGAGCAGTGATGAGAACTAAAGTCATTTTTGATCAAATTTTACTAGGTTGCTTCAGCCATCAATCAGGACGATGTAATAGCAGGATCATGGAGTTGTCGTTGAGCAAGAAACGTGATGGACATGGACGAGAGAGGAGAGAGATGAGGACCCATGAAAAGTGAATCGAGTGGGTGGAGCGTACTGTAAAAGAAAAACAGGAAAATTTTATTAGATTACGATTTATTTATGGCACGATTCATTGCATAATTCTGAATAATTTCTTTAAGGGGACGAATGAGGAAGAATGGAGGAAATTAAATAGAAATGCATACCAACGAGCGATGCATATGCAGGATCGAAATTGGGACTAGATAAAAGAATTATTATTAGAGTTCAATCAAGTGCAAAATTAAAAGGGAATTCAGCTCGGACACAATGATCAGGGAAACCGCGTTGTTGAGGACCATATATTTTTATTGCCATCCAAAAGCTCGACTATAGGCATGCTGCTGGTGAAAAAAATGAGAACGTGAGCCTTAAGTACGGAGAGAATTAATGTTGTAAATAAATATTGCAAAACCCTTTTGTGAGTCGTCATTATTATGCGAGTACGACCAGAGGCAGGCCACGCTGGTTGTTTACCATATGCATTAAAAATTCAAATGCAAATGATTAAATCCTTTCCGAACATGGACAAAATTCTAAAGCAAGGTACATACGATTTGATCACAAACGGTTGATTTATATTTTACACTCTACACTCTATACTTTCCTGTCCTTATGTGTGCCATGCCTCGCTCTAATGCTACATGATGTTAGCCGACTGAGTTGAAACCAGCAAAAAATGATTATCTGGCCAAGATAGTGAGTTCAGTAAGTAAGGGTCTTATCCTGCCCTTCGCCGTGGCTTGGTACATACATACACCGCCGGGAGCATAATAATGGGCAATAATGAGAAGGGTACACGGAGCCGGGGATTAAGGAAGGTAAGTAAGGTTCACGACTGGAAGAATGTGATGGAACGAGCGAATGTGGTGCTTTGCTTGGTAGGATGGCCTGAGTCCAATTTGAATCACATTTCATTACATTTTAAGGGACATGCATCCAGCTTCGTGCAATATTGCGCTCCTTTGCTTGCTTGTCTGCGTGGAGAAGGAGCGTTTGAAAGAAATGAAAGGCATACACAATCACAAAGGGCCCTCCTCCCTCCCCACCAGCTTCCCTCCCGGCTTTCTGCTGCTCCTCGTGCTACGCTATTTCCAACCTTCCTCCAAATCCTTACGCTTTGGATTTAAACTTTAATTTTGTGTCCAGACCGGGTTTTCTACACACTGAGGCTCAGAGAAAACCCCCGAAATTGAAACTGAGGCTAACTCTCTACTACTGCAGAGAGACAGATTGGCTTCCCGGCCATGTACTCAAGTGCGTACGTACAACAAAAATTTTAAGGGCTCTCATTTTTCTCGCTTAAACTTGAAATGTTCAACTTTTAATGCAATGCCAAATGTGATGGTTAAATGCGAACACAAGACGAAGCATTGCTGGTTCGAAGTAGTTGTTGGTGCAGACAGAGCCCAACTCCTTAAAGTGTTTGTTATGAAATGGATCCACAAATTCGGCATACGATGAGATACAATGTGACGTAACAAGTAACATGTGCAGACCAGAAGAGAAAAGATTTAAAAACTGGTATCTGAGACGACTTAAGGAGCACATGCACTAATTTACCAAGCGTGTGTTCACTGAGAGCGAGGTTATAAAGGAAGTCGTCAAAGTGCAGTATAATAAGTACGTAACAAGAAGAGAGCGGGCAAAGGAATGTATATTTATACAAGCTTATTTTTACGAAAATAATTGGTGACACCATTAAATCCACACTTACATTTTATTTATCTACAACTTTATGGCTGGAAAAAGGATCATCTTCTCAGATCACGACTGTTGCCACCAGGAAATGGCATCGAGCAACTCTTCATCCTCGGGACTGACGGGTTCATAGTTTTCGTAGTCGTATTGCATGTTATTGTTGTTATTCGCATTCGTATTTGCATTTGAGGAGGTGATGTAGGAGGAGGCTTCAGAAGCGTAGGAGGGTGACGACGGGTCCTCGCTGGAGGACGGGGACAACTGATGACTCCCCGCAGGAACGGTCGTCGTCCCATTGTTCGATTCGCCAGAGAAGAACTGCTGAGAATGGGAGAACGCTTCGACGAAGGCTTGACCAAACTGGGCCGCGCGAACCCCTTGATCAGAATCAGATTCAGAGTGAGACGATCCCGGAGAGGTCAGAAGGGCTCCGTTAATGTCCAACATATCCTTCAGATCTCGAATGTATTCCACTGCACAGCGAAGTGTCTCCACTTTCGACATCTTCTTGGCTCGATGGGTCAACGGGATGTGTTGCTTCAGGGCGGCGAAACCGTTGTTCACCTATGGAATTACAGAGAAAAAACACATTAGTGCATGTAGTCGTTACGACGTAATAAGCATGCTCTTGAATTACGAGATCGATTCATTTATTTAATTCCACTATTAATATCTTTTCCCTCGAGGATTAACCCACGCTCTTTCCAATCAATCAAACGACGAGTCATGCCCACTACTCTGATCTAAAAAACTGGAAGCTTAGGCAATAACCAAGTTCTGGAGTGAATGATAGCAAATTATAGAGGATGGCAATGAGCAGTTTCTTGGTACTCGCATGACCGTAGGATTCCTACTACTCTTATTATTATTATTACTACAAGTGGAGGAGTGGGACATAAAAAAAACTTTACTACCTACTTATCGCATGCATTGTTGTGAGAGAGGAGAGTGAAAAGAAAAATAAGAGGAGACAGGATGCAGTCAGTCACCCACCGGTGTGGTGGTGAAATTATACATTAACTCCAAATCCACTCCAGGAGGAGAAGAAAAGCATTGTCAAAAAATTCAACAAGTCTTTTAAACAATGCGAGTCGGAGGACGAATGAATGTCTCCTGCGATGCCGTAAGTAAGAGAAGAAATGGATGGAAAAGAGGGGCTGCGCTGCGATGAGAGGATGACTGCAAGATTCACTATTATTTTATTCAAATTTCGGAAAAGTTGCATTGTTCTCTTGTGTCTGCAGAATCCTGGGTTACAACCCGCCTCGTTTTATCAATTCTTGTCATTTCAGTAGTAGAATAGCATGCTTCATAAATGTAATAGTCGAGACAAATTTAATTTCCAGGGCACGATCAGCATCGCTATTCAGTCGTATTTCCACACGTATTAAAATAGTATGGCTTTTTTTTTTACATAAGTAAGAGTTTAAATTAAAAAAGTAAATATATGTACAGAATCGCGAATAAATATTCCCTTTTATTTTTTAGTCTGGTCTTTTTACTGAATGCAGACTAATTTCTGGACATGAGAATTAGTCACACACGCTTCATCCTCTCTCCGACGTGAGATTACACCAAAGCCCTTATTTACACGGATTTTATTATTTTTGTTGAAATCATCACGTGCAAATATTTATTTGTTTGCATTCATGGTCAGTTTGTCCGTTGATGAGACTATTGAATTACTACACGCGACTCGTGCCAAGTGTGCATTTCTTTGAAATCTCAAATGCACAAGTTTTAACAACATGATTGACTCTTTGAGAAACGCTCGTCGTCTCACTTTTCCTCTGAATCAATGAGACGCGAGAGAGAGACGACGGAAGGTTTTGCTTTATAAAAAATGTAAACAACCAACTGTTGACTATTTTCAATCCAGTGTAAAGGGAAACGTTAAACAACTCCTCGCATTACGAAATCGGGAAGGTTTAAAGCAATGCGATGCAATCCATTTGAGTGGTCGGAGGCCATGAAAAACGGGAGCAGATGGCGAGTGGAGGAGGGCGAAAGAAAAGTGAGGCTTGAGCCAATTTCGTTTTTACTCCATGTCCAACCAACCAGCCAACAAAAGTGACATTAACTTTTTGGTACATGTATAGCTTCATTAAAGTCGTGAAATAGACCTGGATTAGTTTTATCAGGTTTTAACTTCCTACATTATCAAGGAAAGACGATTTGCCCTGTTTCTTGCTTTTCATAATCACGAGTCACTTTCTCCCTATTTGCATGCAAGACTTGTATTTCTATCGTATGCAACTCTTAGGCAGACTCATGTTCCCCCGAAAAAGTGGTAATGAACTAATGACAATCCTTGTCAATTCAATATGAACTCGATTCGAAAATTTGGAGACAACTTTTAGGAATTTCTCCGAAATGTGAAAAATGTCTTTAAAAAAATGAGAAAAAGTATGTACATACCTGTTTGACACGATTCCTCTCCCTGGCATTCCTCCTCTGCACGGTGGCCGGTTGATGATGTCCTTTCGGAATTCCGAGATGAGAAAAATTGATTTTCCTTTTGCACTTGGATCCGAAGAGTTCGTTGGAATCCTTGTTGGAGGCATTTGAGCCGGAGAGCGATTTTCCGTGAGAACTGGAAATGGTGCTGTTGGGGGTTGAGCTCGGAGTGGGTGTGGACATTGGTGAGTGTGACGGGCTGTGCATCTCGTACTTTATGCCGGACTGCGGGGTCATGATTGGATGCAACCCACCACCACCCTGTCCTTGACCCATGGGGGAGTTGAGATTCGTCAGGTTGGTCGTCACTGTGGCCATGTCGAACATTTGTAAATTTAGTAGCAGTTTTCACAAACTATTACGCGTAATCACACAATTTTTCCCTTCTTCAAGGCACTACAATCCTCTCAATGTTTGTACTGATATGATTTGATTTCCACCACAAAAAATCTGTCTCCTTGTATTATTATATCACGATTATATTATTCTATTTTTCCGAGTGTGCAGACTGAAAATTAAAGTGAGTGTCGAATCGTACTAAGGTCTCTGGCACTTGTGAATTCTATAGAATCGCTCGAAATAGGAAATGGGTTTTCCTGTTCTTTTAAAACTGCTCCAATTCTGCTGAATGGAGACAACTGGTTTGACGATGAGAATAATGTGCGCTACTCAAAAAACGTTGTGTTTCGGGCAAGCGTTGGAAGTAAACTGAGTCCAGGAGGGTTTCTCCACAGATGTTTATACGAATGTGCAGTCCTAGCTAAGGGTCCAGCAAAGCAGTGGTGGCAGGTCAGGGAGCTACTGGTGAGACTGAAAAGACAGAACTGGGCATTTTCCACCCCTGCTCCTTGCTTATCCTTCGTCAGTGCTGGAATCGAGGGTTGTATTTCTCTCGTAGCAAAGGAAATCCATCCACGCGACACCCCAGATTACGCGTGCCCCATCCTTCAAGGTGTAGTACGGACGGACCAGAAGCTGGCTGCTCTAGCACGGTGAAGGTATTCTCATTGTTGAGGGCACAGACTGTGATGTTGTTGTGGGTATGGCTTCCAACAAGTTTTAAAAATCCACCACGACTACCTTACCTTATTGTTGGACTGGACGAGCGATGGTTCGGCTTCTGAGGGATGATCATCGCGAGGGTGAACTGAAAACTGCTTACTCTTTGGCAGAGGAGTCTTGGTATTATTACGAGAAGCAGAAGCTTGCAGTAGTGTTGGGTACTCCTTACTGACTTTTGTAGAAAATACACTTGTGATTACCTATTATTATTGCTGGCATGGTTTGGCTGGATTTTATTCCGTAGTAGTAGTAAAGCTTTTTGATTATGCCTTCAGCTTTGGATGCGGAGTGGCACGCGGATTCAGATAAAAGTTGGATGATGCCAGGCGTCGTATGCTATTACGAGTGCATTGAGGTTATAAAATAAAATAAAAATTGAAGACATGGCTCGTTTCCTATCCATTCTTATTTTACGTAACGAGCGATCCTACTTGTTGCTTCTCCTCTTGAGGTGGAGGTGGAGAAAAATGAACGGATTTTAAAGCGTGGACTCGATAAATAATTTTGAGCTGAAAAGAAAAGAAGAAAAGCATCCCCGAAACGAAACCGTCGTCGTTGTGGAGGAGGAATTAAAACGCATCCAAGCAGATCCGAATTCTCCGTCAAATTCAGACTTTGAGCTTTGCAACAATTCTTCTCCTGCTTAAATTTGTTCTCTTTTGATGCTGGTTCCAAAGAGGGAAAATAATCTGCTAGGATTTACTCTGCTTAGGTGGGTATGATTTTGATAGGAGTGGAATCATGGTGATGAGGAGATATCATTTCCACGATTGCAATAATGTTCTGTCTGTCTGCATTCGGTAAAAATTTCATTGAAAGTTGTTCCTACGAGTCCTAAGAAGCCCCCTTTGCACTGGCTTCCTTTCCATCTATTTAACCGTGCATCCTCTTCCCGTCCTTCCTTTAGGCAGGTCATTTATGTAGTTGTTGCATACACTTTGTGCAGCAGAAATCGCATCACGGTGCGTTATTTGAGAAACATACCCTTCGGTTTCGTCCCTTGGTCCCTTATTCACAAAAATTTCTCCCTAAAAACCAACCCTTGAAACCGTGGCAGCCATCTATTTTGCAAAGTAGGGACTTCGAAATAAGTCGCCTAATGAACAAAGCTCTTTTACATGAAAATTCATCAATTTTCAATCTAATTTTCTAACACACATGGCATAAAATTGGCAAGATAATCATTCGTATATATATGTAGCATCATTTGGTTTTATACGACAGACAATATTTTCTTTACACTTAATTTACAACGTATCTAATCCTTCCCAAATTCCGCCTCGTTTTACTCTCCCCAAACCAACCAATCTTCTAACTTTATAATCATTGCTTATGGTTTTGATTGATGTTAAATACGCAAAAACACAAATCACAGTTCAAATCGTACCTTGCTGCTACAGATTTGTGCACATTTACGTAACTTTAATAGTTTTAAATAACAGCAAAGTAGATAAACAGAGTCACGCCTTATTTGTTTTTCTCTCATTTGAAGTTCAAGTACTTACTGCGTATGGCAAGAGCCAAGGAACCCCACGTTAACAATGATGTTCCTTGACTGGATTCTGATAATCATCATCAAAGCCAGCATCAGAAGAAGAAGAAGCATCATCATTATCATGGGAATTTGGCACGCGACAACTCATCCAACATCCTCCTTCATTGTTGCTGATAATAAAAAAGCAGCAAACTGCAGCTCATCACTCGATCTTCTTTTCTCTCTCTCTTTCTGCTACTTCATCATTGTCTGCAACGACCATCACAAATTACAGTGAGCTCGTTTAAGATGGGTTGACAAGAAAAAGAGTTCCATCCTCCTCCACTCTTCTCCGGTATCATCATCTCCCAACCAACAACATCCTACAGCAATTCGTGGTGAACAAAAATTATATATCATTGTTGGCCAACGTATGTATCAAAAGGCTGAAAAATCAAGTCACTTTACTCTTCGAGATTCGATTTACACCATGAAACGAAGAAAGAATGAGCTGAGTAACTGTCCAAATTTTCAGTCTATTCCGAAAGTAGACTTCCTGTTAAGAATGAGCAGCAATGAAATGACTACTGGGAAACCTATTCATTGCGTGATTCTTCCTGTGCAATCTTTCAATTCTCAATTGTGGATTGTGCACACACGTGAAATGAAAAATATTTTTAATTGTCTGGCATATGAAGAGCAAGTTTATTGGGATCTGGGTGTCCATCTCGGCCGGTTGCCAACGTCATAACACTCGAGACTTTTTTATTATTCAAATTTTCGACCCAGACGAAATGCAAGGTGCAACTCAACCTTTTACTACGATTTTTGTTGGTGTAGGTGAAAAATTCCGACATTTTGAGGGAAATGATTAGAAAGAAAGGCATCATATTCATATCTTTTCTGGCTTAATTGCTGCCAACATTAGTGCACCCACGGACCGTCTGCATGAATTGTCTCGTCTGGTCGGGAAAGGATGATGCGCTAATGAATTTACTGCCTGAATAAATTACGCGAATTTGGAATATGCACTTTCGGTGTCCCTCATTATTTGATATCCAAACAACTAATTGACTTGGTGGAGTAAAACAAGCCGAAGTGTTTAATAATCCTGCCGTTTTCTAATTGTGTGGATCACATGCAATCTGAATTTTCTCACACATCATGCAAAAAGGTTTCCATCAATCCACAGGAGAGGAATAAAACAATAATTATATTACAATAATTGACACAAATTATGTACAACCAAGCTCTGCAAACCGTCTTCTCCTCCTTGTTTTGTAGTACGGGTGCAAATCGAGTTGGAACGGTTTAGCGTTAACTAATGGCATATTCTTTATCTCAATATTATCCGCCCTCCATTACGGCATGCGAATCAGGATTTTATTAGAATAATCGAAACTTTGGGATCAGTCACTTTGGTTAAAGAGTATTCGGCTAAAGAGAATTAAGTTGGATAAATTTTGCATAATGTTTTCTTCCAATATTTCAATTGTTTCACAATAATTATGCTCTAAATAAGTTCTGAAGTATGCCATCGACACATTGTGATTGTGCAAGTGACGTACATTTACAGGATGGCGTGGAATATGGAAAGTATCATCTTAGAATTTTGGTCAATTCCAAATTTCCAAAATCCTGACTTTTTATTTACCCAAAATAATTTTTGGTTAATATTTCCAAAAATACACATTTTTCTATGATCAAACAACTTTGGCCAAAATAAAGCCAAATGTACCCTTGAATGTACAAACTAAAAACGATGCAGACTTATCCAAATGGAAAAATTGCACAAAAAACAACAAATGCAAATCTGACATTTCGTGCATGCTGTCCAGTTGGCTAGTCACACTTATTCTGCCAAATTTTATTAGGCAGAAAGAGGGTGATTATTTGCAACGAGCAGTCAGTATGTATAGCAAGATGAGAAATGTGAAGTAGTCGGATGATGAATTGCCACAGTCTCTGCTCCAGGCTTGCATGTGCCTCCCAATTAAGATGATAGTTACATTTTGAGTGCCATGCACATATGCATATCGGGCGGATTTCGGACAAATAGCTACAACTTTGCAATGTAATTTCATGTTTTATGCAAAAATATAGGCGATACTACTGGCAACTTATTGTATAAGGATCACCTTTTGTAAAACAACCTCCTCGATCGTAATTTGTACAAGATGCTTACAATGTCAACCAGCCCAGTAGCAAGTGACCATGCGAAAGTTATTCTGTCCATCAAAAGTTTTTGCTGACGATGATCTGATTTTTTGAGGGGTCGTTACGTATAAAGAAACCAGATCAGAGATTCGACTCTAAAATCATATGCATCTCATCCAAAGTAAATTACATCTTTTCGGCCTCTTTTAATTACTGTGCGGTCTGACGGACGCCTTGATTACAGGGCTTGTCATTTCTCGTGTAAATGGAATTAGCACCGATTAATATTCCTCTTGTTTTGAAACTCTTCAAGTTCACCATAATTGAAGGGGTTGTCAAATAACGGGCGAGGTTTTACAGGTTAGAGCAACCCCTGTCCATCCTCCACTGACAAATTTCGTGATTTTTATGCAAAAAAGACTAAAGATACTTTTACTCGCATTCATTGGACAAGAGTTTCTGCGTAAAAAACTCTCTGTAAAAGTTTGAGTAAAATTGAGTTAGTTTACATACGTGGATTCCCTTTCCTCTGTTTTTGCCTTCCATATTATTCCAGTGGCTATTTACTAATCAAGAAATATATACGTGTATACATGTTAAAAATGAAATCAAGCGAATGTTCCTATATTTATCTTGATAAAAACTAGAATGAGTATTTTGACCATTTTAAAATGCAAGACCATAATAACTCAAAACTTGGAGGGAACAGATGTCATGCCTTCAGAATAATTTGAAACTTTGACTTAACCTGAACTGCTCACTCAATCTGGTGTTCTTCCTTAAGTAAAAGTGTATCAAAGCGTTTATTTACAAGGGAGCAGTCCATCTCTCTCACTCTTTTTACCTGTTCGACTAAGCATCCAGATAACTTTTAAGGAATCAAAGACTCAGGATCAGTCACCTGCTGATGAATGACGCAGAAATGAAATTGCATTGCATGGCCCTCCGAAAGTTGATTCTTGAACGCAACAGTTGGGAGGTTAAACAACCCGATTGGAGGGCATGACGATTATTGGAAAAGTAAAATTCCAGCAGCACATTTATTTAGTTACGATTCTGACGATTTAAATCCTCAAAATCTCATCCAAATCTTTCCTTATCTTAAATCCACTCCTTATCAAACCAATCCAATAACCATGTAATGCATTTATTCGGTGCATAACAACTGTTCTGCTAAATTCTCCGACTGTAAAAACAGGAATATTTTCCCTCCAACCTCACTCAACATATGTCATCCAAACTTTCTGCCGTATGCTGATTAAGTATATTTGACAATTTGGCATTCAACTCGTATATGCACTCGTGTTACTAAAAATCTGAAAAAATTACATACACCATTTCACTGCTCAAGCTTTCGGGGTATGCATTATTATTTACTCCTCAAAGTCGAGATGACTAATCCCAAGTAGTTCATTAACTATTTATCAAGGACCGGTTTTGCCTATCTCTTTACATCCGATACATAACAAGCTTTC